AATAGCAGATGAGGAGGAGAGTTCTCTGGACGTCTTGACGATCTTAGAGACTCGACATAAACAGGACAATTCTGCTATAGGCCTGTGCACGTCGATAATGGACAGACAGAAGTGTTTGCCATTATCGAAGAAGAAAATACTTTTCGTGAGCAGGGAGACAACTTGTCTCTGCTGCCCTGTACAGCTGGGGCGACATGGATACTTCTGATGAAGGACCCTGAAGCAGAACAAGCCATGAATAGTAGGGAACCCCAACATTCTGGTCTTGTAGTACTCTTTGCTTCGAAGGAAGTGACAGGGGTATCTCAGCTGGTGGTGGAAACTTCATTGCGAAGAAATTCCACATTACAGTCTACAGGAAACCCTGAGTTTTTTTTACTGATTTGACTGTATACCCTGACTTGATTTCGTGCTCTGACTCTGGACTGATCTTTGTTAAAGACAATTCCACCCTGACAATTTGGCAAGGTAAAGACAGAATGCACCGAAGAGGCAACAAATGGACACTCTTCAGAGAAATTGTTAGTGGTAAGTGGCACTCACTTCGTGGGATCACGATGAGTGAAGATATCCCTCGTTTTAAGAGGAGATTTGTAACAGATTTTTCAAGAATCTGTGGACTGAGGAGAAGAGGATCCAACCTGACTGCGACTAATCCTTTTAGTAGAACACTTCAGGCTCTCCCTAGGCAGATAGGGCGCGGCGAAGTGAGGAAACGCACAGAGGTTGTCAGTCAACGGCGCAGAGGAGTCCTGTTGACAAAGCATGGATCTTTGATTATCCGATGGAAGGGGGAACCTCCGGACAAAGGGACATTACCGAGCGACTGCTTGGAATACCCGCTCAATACCAGGATCAATGACAGTATTGAATTATCCTGGATGAAAGGACACGGGATGTCTGCAGACGAGTGCAGATCTTCCCACTGCCATAAAGAATATTGGAAACAGAAAACTTATGAGCAGTTATGCAAAGAAGGACTTGAAATTCTTGGAAGCCACAGAGCGTGCAGATGTGCGGTCAGGGTGACCGAACTTAAGGGGGAGGCTCTGTGACAATACGCGCGGTGACTTCAGAATGTCTTTCCTTAACCTACTTTTATTCCTTTGTGTTTCGAAGTATACCGAAATAAATGGTTTTGGATACATCCTTAATCTAAGTAAGACGACCACATCAAACACTTACTTCTCCTGGACTGTTGGTCATATCAAACACTAAAACTTTTTCCCAGATGTTAAGTGTTAAGGTAGTCTTTGTGACGCCTGTGAGACTGACCAAGCAGACTTACTGACTGGAGATTTGCACACCATCTGTTGGTGTCAGATGTTTCATCTCCTAGCCAGACTTTTAGGAGCAGATAACTCCGGCTAATTGTGTTTAATTCCCCCTGAGGTTACCTAACTCGACGGCAGGTCCGACGGTCACTATTGACACAGTGAGCGGAAAGTGTTGGCAGAAGAATTGACACCGTCGGATTTTATTGTGATGACAGGTGAAGTAGCCGGAGGTGTGACTTGGCCTATTAGCTTGACCAGCTTAATTGAACCAGGAGATCTTAGCGTGGGAATTCAAACTTGTTGTACAGTCACTGACTGACAGCGAATAAACTTACCCACAGGGGAGGAGCTGTGATATCCCGTAATGAAAAGGATTTTAGGCGTAATGTAGGAGGAGCTTGATAAAAGTTATAAAGGGGTGAACTATAGGTCTGGTAAATGAGATCCTGTCGAGCACATGCCATCTGTTGGGCTTAACCTAAGCTTGAGACAGAACTTTTGGCATCGTGGTTTCATTTTTCCAGGTAAGATCGACATTAGGTTCATATCTATATTTTATGATAGAGATCTGTCTTTTTGCTCAAGTGTGTGTCTTCATCACTTTGTAGTACTCCTAGGCGGACATTTCTTCATTCTCGTAGGGCACTGTCACATTGCTTTATTTCCTATTTGAGAGTGTCATGAATGTTTTTTTTGTGCACATGTGTTTCAATGTTGTAAAACCTAAATGTTGTTGTTGCCATTGAAATTTAATGAACTATCATGTTTTTGAAATCACAAGCGTGAAGATAACTTTGGCAATCTTTTCACGTGTGGTTAATGTGAATCTGTATTACATACAGCTAACACACTGAAATGTGTTTAACTCTCGGGAGGCTAATGCGGAGATTGATCCCGGAGAGTAAATCCACGAGATTTGTTATTTGATTCGCCTCAGAAATATTGTTAGCTTTCTGGGCGCGTCGATTGTTCCAAGCATAGATTCCAGAACTGGTTCTGTCTGACTGATTGTCATTTTGAGTCTGTACGAGAGATGGCACCTGACGTAGAAGACTTGACTATCATTACAGGACGTGTAGAGGAAGGCAGAAGATGTAACAGTTGGAATGTGAGACATAAGCCCTTCCAAATTGGACAGGAGTGAATGTGAGCATGAGGGAGAGATGAAATGTTTTATTTAAATAAACATGCTTGATGTTAGTATAATATACATGCTTAGTGTACATCTAGAGCAGATACTACAAATATGCGCTTGTTTCTTCATTCTCCAGTTCCCACATTGGGCAGGGACTAGTAGGCATCCATTATTTGCCGACCGTCGAGTGTAACGACCTGCAGAAAGCAGTGAGGACGACAAACTGGAAAAGATAGGCAGGGTCTCAAGCCGAGAACTGTCCTGATGAGCTAAGTTATGTACAACTTTAATGTCATCTATAACATCATCCCAACTCTACTAGCCTAAACAAGTTCATTTTATTTTCGATTTATTAAATAAATCTTTTTGATGTTGTTACACAGAGTTAAGTAAATTGTGTACTTAGGTTCAAGTGTCTTTGTGCATATTAGTTTACTTCAGCTAACAAATATTTAAATCACTTGATGGGGGCTTTTAAGTAATGCCAGGAAAGGAGACCAGTCGCAGGGGTTAAATGAGCACCTGGATTATATCACAGTGGGTGTATCCAGATATCTATCTACCCCTTCTCCTTCTCCTGTGGATACAAGTACAGCAACTTTCATTTCATGGAACGAGCCACTCGCTGTTTTCTTGGCTATCCAGGACTGTCTAGGATCAACATAGCTTAGATAATAGTCCAGTTTCTCACGTGGGTGGGCATTGTTAAGGTTCAAACCCACACCCTCACTATATCAGTGTATTTACTCACGTGGGCGCGCGACACGGCCTTAGGCTCACAACATCCTCCCTTCTCCCAGTTACACCTTCCCACTCCTTTCCTACCCACTCCCACTTAAACGGGAGCGTTTTTTTAAATTGACATGAGCACTGAAATCGAACAAGCTTTAAACGGGTACTAAAATAAATCTATAAATTAAAGGCGACCTGTATGACATTAACAACTTTGAGAACATTATTCTACGAGTACCGAAAGATAAAAAAAATATATGAGTCTGGCACGACATACAAAGTACACCTCAAGATGGGTAACAGAAAGGTTTACAAAAGACTGGCCAGAAGTGGAGGGTCCTCGATGCGATAGAATCTGCCCAAATGCACTAAAATTGAAGGAGATAATGGGATACACTCAAACCGACCGTCGAGGCCTAGGGCACGGGAAGGTCAATTGGTGGTCAAAGGCCTTAGCCAAAGAGCGCCGAGACATGGTAATACAAACGGTGAGGGACAACGAAAACGAGGTTCGGGTTCAGAAAGCAGCCCAGCAGTCGCAGCAGGGCCTTTGGGTCAGCCTGGAGAGCGCATTGCCAAGAATACTCACATGGGGTGAGATCTGGCGGATGACCCCGCTGCGACTGAGCTTTATCGTTCGTTCGGCGTACGATGTATTACCGTCCGGTGTTAACATGGTTAAATGGTCTGCGACTAACGATCCGACTTGTCCGTTGTGTAAAGCGAAGCAGACTCTTGAACACGTCCTGTCCGCATGCAGGAAAGCCCTAGGCCAAGGCCGATATACCTGGCGTCACAACGAGGTGCTAAAAGAGTTAGCAGCCGTTGTTGACCAGGCTAGAATAAGGGCTAACTCTAGAGCCAGTTCTACCATCGTCCCCATACGTTTCCTCAAGGCTGGGCAGATTCCAAAAGGTAAGGTCAACCGAAACGCATTCGATCCATCTGTGCTAGACTCTGCGAGGGACTGGTTACTGGCGGTTGATCTGCCGGGCCATGAAAGATACCCCGAGTTAATCCGTAAGACCGGCCTGCGACCTGACATAGTTCTCCACTCTGGGCAGAAACGGCAGCTCATCCTGATTGAGCTGACCGTCCCGTATGAGTCGCGTATGGACGAGAGTCACACATATAAGCTTGAGAAATATTCTGACTTAGCAGCCGGTCTGAAGAGAAACGAGGCGTACACAGTACGGGTCTTTGCCGTCGAAGTGGGAGCGAGAGGCCTCGTTTCCACTTCGCTCTACAATGTGGTTAAAGAACTAGGATTGCGCGGTAATGAACAAAAACGAACACTTAAAAAACTGGGCGAGGCAGCCGAAAGGGCCTCGAGTTGGCTTTGGACGCAACGCAACAACGTAGGGGACCGGCCTCGGTGAGCTGGTCCAAGTGTCTAGTGGAAAAGGGTTTCTCACCCCTTGAAAGTCCATCGTGTCCAAATTGTCTGCCAGTGTTCCTCTGCCACCTGCTAACAAAAGTCCAACATGTGTCCGGTAAACCAAACGTAAGCTTGTCGCTCGGTCGTCCAGGCATGCTGACTGTTCTAATTAGGCTGCCGCGACGACTTCTTATCTCACAGTACCGTCTGCGAAACCACCAAGTCGTCTTGTCCTATCCGAAAGAAAACGCCATCCGGTAATCTCGTGCAGCAGGGTACCAGCCCTGAGCTTCATGAACTTAGGTGGGCCCACCTCCGAAAGTGTCTAGGAATCGTGGGCCGAAACACTTGTCGACGAGGATAATTTCTACTGACGAATGGTAGATCCCTGCTGTACTTGCTCCCTGTGAGTTTATTCCTATTGATTGTACGACTGATGTTATCTTAGCAGATTGTTGGAAATCCCGACTCGTCAACAATGGACCTGATAACATGGATCGTGGCTGGTTTCATTATTCTCGTCTTCTACTTGCTACTGCGGGGACCAAACCCACGGCTTCCACCCAGTCCAGTTCGACCTTTGCCCGTTGTTGGCCATCTCATGCACTTGAAGGCAGACCTTAGGAGCCAGTTTCGAGAATGGGCAGAGCAGTGTGGGGATATGTTCAGGTGAGTAAACTGTTGACGGTAGTGAGGGGGGCAGAGCAGTGTGGGGATATGTTCAGGTGAGTAAGCTGTTGACGGAAGTGAGGGGTGCAGAGCAGTGTGGGGATATGTTCAGGTGAGTAAGCTGTTGACGGTAGTGAGGGGGGCAGAGCAGTGTGGGGATATGTTCAGGTGAGTAAGCTGTTGACGGAAGTGAGGGGGGCAGAGCAGTGTGGGGATATGTTCAGGTGAGTAAGCTGTTGACGGTAGTGAGGGGGGCAGAGCGTGTGGGGATATGTTCAGGTGAGTAAGCTGTTGACGGAAGTGAGGGGTGCAGAGCAGTGTGGGGATATGTTCAGGTGAGTAAGCTGTTGACGGTAGTGAGGGGGGCAGAGCAGTGTGGGGATATGTTCAGGTGAGTAAGCTGTTGACGGTAGTGAGGGGTGCAGAGCAGTGTGGGGATATGTTCAGGTGAGTAAGCTGTTGACGGAAGTGAGGGGGGGGGGGCAGAGCAGTGTGGGGATATGTTCAGGTGAGTAAGCTGTTGACGGAAGTGAGGGGTGCAGAGCAGTGTGGGGATATGTTCAGGTGAGTAAGCTGTTGACGGTAGTGAGGGGGGCAGAGCAGTGTGGGGATATGTTCAGGTGAGTAAGCTGTTGACGGTAGTGAGGGGGGCAGAGCAGTGTGGGGATATGTTCAGGTGAGTAAGCTGTTGACGGTAGTGAGGGGTGCAGAGCAGTGTGGGGATATGTTCAGGTGAGTAAGCTGTTGACGGAAGTGAGGGGGGCAGAGCAGTGTGGGGATATGTTCAGGTGAGTAAGCTGTTGACGGAAGTGAGGGGTGCAGAGCAGTGTGGGGATAATTTTTGGGTGAGTCGTTGACGGTAGTGAGGGGTGCAGAGCAGTGTGGAGTATTTTCAGGTGAGTAAGCTGTTGACGGTAGTGAGGGGGGCAGAGCAGTGTGGGGTATTTTCAGGTGAGTCGTTGACGGTAGTGAGGGGGGCAGAGCAGTGTGGGGTATTTTCAGGTGAGTAAGCTGTTGACGGTAGTGAGGGGTGCTCGTTATTTGCCAAGTCAATCACTGTCTCTTCCGAAAAGTATGTTTAGTTACTTGCGGACGGCTGATTTAATTAAACATCATCGTCATCATCATCGTCATCGTCATCAAATCATCATCACCACTCTAATGTATCAAGATACGTCATTGACGCCCTCGTGCCCTCAATCCGTTTGTTTCTTGTTCCAGTGCCTATTTAGTGATTTTGTGTACACTTCGTCTCTGCTGCTGGCCAGTACAGCAACATCTGTGTTGACATAATGTTTGATACCAGTAATTCTCTTCTTCCTTCGCTCGCTCTTTATTTGCAATGTTGTCTCTAGTATGAACTTCATTGTCCTTTCTAATTTACTCAACGACCCGTAAAGTTGATCTTTCACCCGCGTTTCTCTTGGCCAAAAGTGTTGCCCTGAAATGTTGTGTTTGGAACAGTCTTGAAGGACGTGATCTGGTGCCTCATATGTCAGCCCACATGTGCATATGACTGATTCGCCAATCATACATTTTGTGTACTTGTTGCTGCGAAGTCGAATGTGTCCTGTTTTAAGACGTAGAATAATAACTTGCTCTGGTCTGGCCATAATATGGCAATCATCTTGGCCAGTTTTGGCGGCTTTCTGTTTGATTTTATTATTCTCTTAAGAGACAGGAACGTCAGGTTGTTCCTGATTTGCACCTTCCTTAACTAGTTTTTCTTCTCTCTAATTTACAGGAAATCCACACTGGGATGGAATCCATCTCATAGTAACCTTACACTGACGGATGCCTAATTAGGGGAGTAGTGTTCGTATGTCTGGTCATTTTCCAACCTGGAGTGCCTGAAGAAGCAGTCTTGCATCTGTCAGGAATATCACGGGTTGTGAAATATGACTGTTATTTAGCCGTTTCTCTGCTGCTATTGTGGTGACTTTAATTTCGTCTTCATACTTGTAGTTGTGACAGCGCTGTGTTGGTGTTATTTTGTTGTATCTCTGTTTTTATTTAGATGCTCAGTTTACACTCCTGCTTGTCTATTTCTGCTTACATTTTGTGCTGACCCATCCATGTCGACGCCAACCTAAAGATCCTGTTGGCATTCATCATCAAGTAGAGCGAGAGTGGCTGTTTTAAGTAACACGCTTTTTTGTGTGTTCTTCCTTGCCGAATACTCCTTCCACTTTTGTGTGGATGTATATTGGTACTTACGTTCCTCTCTCGGAGTATTTATTCGCTAATTTATTAACATTTTTTGAAATCAGCTAATTTAGTATTCATCAATTCGTTGATTAGATAAACATTTGATTACAATACTTGTACATGTTCCTACAGTCTCTGTCACATCTCAAAGAATAAACAAGAAGGCAGCAGATGATTCGGATATGCATGTTAGGATACCATATAATGCCTTTGCTGGTGAGTTCCTAAGAAAGCATGTTATAATGTTATTCAGCTGCGGTTCCATGTTTACAGCAAATGAGTCTCCCTATGAGTCACAGAGAAGCACACAAAAGCCCTTTACTGCACAGTATGAAGAGATAAATTCAGGAGTGATGGGAAATGAACAGGCAGATAGACTGGACACCAAAACGACAACCCATATGTTTTGAAAGAGTCGAGGGCTCGAAGTAAACAATGGAAAGAGACACTCATTTTTCTTGGTTATGTTTTGAAAAGAAGGAAACTAGAACATGTTGTGACCACTGGAAAGATGTGTGGAAAGAGAAACAGAGTAAGACAACGCGAGAAGAATCTTGACAGCCTGTTTTCATGACATGGAGGTATGTCAACAAGTGAACTGATTCACACAGTTGCAGATCCCAGATTGCAGAGATTGATTATGATAATTTGTGATGATATCCTGGTAAAAGGGATACCAAGATGTGTTGCAGTGGTAGTAGAGTAGCCAGCTAACTGTATTGTCATCTGTTCACAGCCTCTATATGGGTGGCTCTCTGGTCGTTGTACTTAACGGATATGACGTGATAAAAGAGGCAATGGTCAAGAAAGGCGATCTCATGTCAGACAGACCACCAGTCTTCATTGACCAGGTTTGTCTTCTTGTTCTTTTTACAACTCATCATCACCATCAACATCATTTAATAACTGATTTAGGAATTGACAGTACAGTACACCGGGCACACACATGGGTGATCCCTCTCCCGTGGAAAATATCTCAAGGTGGGGATCAGGGATATTTATCTAAGTTTACTGAGGGTTGAAACATGGAGATTGTCACGGGTCAGACGCCCCAAACCTAGCATAGACAGACCATTAATACAATATAATTGTCAGGTGATTTGCGGGCCACTTTCTATGTCTCTGTGGGCCAGATTTGGCCCGCCAACGCCAGTTTGGTGTAGCTGCGACCACAACACAACATGCCAACCGCCCTCTCAAGCGCTAACGAATATTACCCGTGACATAAACACTGAGCATCACGTCGCCTCTATCGCAGGCTAGCTGTAAACCCCAAAGCGTAGATATTACAGCTTAGCTATAAACTACAACAAAACGTGGCAGCCACCAAGTTAAGGGCCCAACACAAAAATATATTACCCAGCGGGGAATCGAACCCTATCACCCGAGTGAAAGGAAAAATTCTTACAACTATTTGCGCTGCAGAATTCTCAAGCGTTTTGTAGAAATGAAAGTATATAATAATAACGTGAATTTCGGTGTCACACAGTCAAAGGTGGCCAATCGATTGAAAACAAATCCGGGCTGGCAACGAAACAAATAATGATTTGACCGTTGCTGGAGCTACGTCATTCGTGATTTGTGACAAAAAATTACGCTCTGAGTCAGAGGCAACGTTGTGTGAAAATTTGAAAATAATCCGAGTTTTTATCTAACAGCATCGGAGAATTACCATTCCTATTAATATAGAAGAGAAGATATACACGCCACTCACAGCCTCTCATACGTTTGTCCTTGCTGGATTCACACCTAATTCCTCCTTCACAAATTCTTACATTAGTAGCTATTTCCAAATATATATCCGTGTTTTAGACGCTGTTGACAATGTTTAAATTTTTTGTGTTAACAGGTGTACGAATGATATGATGTGTGAAAGGAGGGAGATTAAAAGAGCGGCAAGTTAGACGGGCCTGCGTGCCTAATTCTTGACCCTTTGAAAAAAAAAGTTTGCTTGTTCGTTCGTTCGTATATATGTACACAGACACACAGACATGCCCACGCACACTTTACAGCTTCCACTGAGAGTGACTGAGTCGACATATGTTAATAATAGGTGGAAATTGATGTATATAAAGCTGACTATTAAAGTCAATTTAAATAGTTTACAACAAAATGGAATTAATAAAAGCCCGATATAATATACCCAAAAAAATATGATTAAAATAAAAACCTTTTTAGGGACAAAAATTACAATATATTGAAAGAGAATTGCATTTCGAGGACATTTAAAATACAATTGTATTGTGAGTATATTCAAAATACAATTGTATTGTGAGTATATTTAAAATACGATTGTATTGTGAGTATATTTAAAATACGATTGTATTGTGAGTATATTTGAAATACGATTGTATTGTGAGTATATTTGAAATACGATTGTATTGTGAGTATATTTAAAATACGATTGTATTGTGAGTATATTTAAAATACGATTGTATTGTGAATAAATTTAAAATACGATTGTATTGTGAGTATTTTTAAAATACAATTGGATTAATGTAGGAAAAAAAAGGAATTTTGTGAAGACCATTGCAGATAGTGGGGTTGTAAGCTGTCGCTCTGTTTAGCTTATGTTTAAACCCAGCACTGATTGTCTTCTGCCACCTTGGAATGGTTTGGTGCTGTCTGCCACTGACGATGCCACTTAAGTTTAATTGAAATATCCCAGTCTACCGGTAAGTTAATCTACCTTTCTCTCTCTCTCTCTCTCTCTCTCTCTCTCTCTCTCTCTCTCTCTCTCTCTCTCTCTCTCTCTCTCTGTGTGTGTGTGTGTCCGTCTGTCTGTATGTATGTGTGTCAATATTGTTTCTTGTAGTTTCATTATGTATCTTCATGTTAGTATTATTTCTCCTGTATGTATTTCTGACGGTAATCACGATGACTATTTCCTTAGATTTCCGGACTGTCTCAGAAGGGAATTGTATTTTCAAACGGACAGCTCTGGAAAGAACAAAAGTCTGTCTGTCTGTCGATCCTTCGCTCATTCGGCATGGGGAAAAATCTGCTGGCAGAGAAAATACAAGAAGAGGTTGATTGTTTCATGACTTATCTGGCCAGCCTGGAGGGAAACCCCACCGACATTCACCTGCATACAGGTGTCGTCATATCAAATATTATTTGTTCTATTTTGATTGGTAATCGTTTTGACTACGATGATGAGAAATTCCAGGATTTGTTGCAGAAACTGAATAGAGTTCTTGAAGACCAGAGTAGTATTAGCTTGGTCAATTTCTTTCCTTGGCTGAGAAAACTGCCGGGGGACTTGTTCAAAGCAAAGAGAATGTCTGAAAACATGCTGGCCATTAGGAATGTGTTTGTTAATTTCCTGCAGGAGAAAAAGAGGAATGTTGATGACTCAGATGAAGTCCTAAATTTTATAGATGCCTATTTGAAGGAGAAGAAGAAGAAGACCAAGCCTGGAGAATCCACCACACTGGATGATCAAAATTTAATTAAGGACATGATGGATCTTTTTGGCGGTGGGACGGAAACCACCACCTCTACTATCTACTGGTGTATACTCTACCTGCTCAATAATCCGCAGGTACAAGATAAGGTGTATTCTGAAATAAAAGATGTGATAGGAAGTGATCGAACCCCAACAATGCAGGACAAGGGGAACCTGAAGTACCTCAATGCAGTCATCATGGAGACTGAACGTCTGGCCAATATTATCCATCTTGCTGTGCCCCACATGTGTACTAACGAGGTCACCCTCAGAGGTTACATCCTGCCTAAAGGTACCACAGTCTGCCTAAACCTGGACTCTGTTCTCCACGACAAGGCCACTTGGGGAGAGGACGCTCTGAACTTCTGCCCCGAGAGATTCATAGACAGCCATGGCCGGGTCCAGATTCCCAAACAGTTTATCCCATTCGGCATTGGCCATCGGATTTGCATTGGCGAGGCCATGGCCAAGATGGTTCTATTTTTGTGCCTAGCCAGTATGTTTCAGAAATTCAAATTCCTTCCATCAAACCCACATTCTATTCCTCCAATAGAATATCACTGTGGTGGAGTCGTGTCACCAAAACCGTACAAAGTGAGGGTTGTAGCACGACAATAATACATGCAGGTATCAATACAAACAATTTAGTTATGCTCTGTGTCTTTTTTCAAAACTCTAGTGTTAGATTTATGTACTTTGGTTGTTTCATAGTCTTTTGTTGGCATAATAATAGAAGCACATACAATTGTCACAAGTACAGACAAGTAACGCATGCACTTTTAATGCCAGAAGGCTCATTGTGTGCTTTGAAATTTATGTTGAGTGTTTTTTTTTTAAAATCAATGTACACGTAAGTTTACAGTCAGGATAGAGTAAATTATTGTAATACCTAGCTTAGGCAACATAAAGTAAGTAGGCGACAAATCAGCCTAGAACTATTAAAAGGATGTGGAATTTCTAGTGCAACATGATTGAAGGTAGGTATGGGGATGCATGTCTGGGTAGTGGTCCGTCTGTGTGTGACTAAGAATGGCAAAGTCATACCGACGTGAAACTAGAGATTGTCGAATCAGTTGTATGGTATAATATGCGGTTGCTAAATACCTCGAGAACGTGAATCTTACTAGACTGTGTTTATGTAGGTCATTATCATCATCATGTAGCAGGTCCTTCTTCCATCACAGCCCGCCTGAAAAAGACTCGGTCGCTCGTCAACTTCCCAGCTTCATGCACACTTTTCTCCAGTGTGTTTCTTATGCCTTGTCCCCACCCCCACCCAGCTTTGTACTGGTCAGCCCCTGCCTCTTTTAATAGGCACCGTCTCCATTACTGTTTATTACATTGCAACATTTAATACGAACAGTTTGTCCATTTTCAGACAAAACGCTGTTTACCATCCAGGTTTCCTTACTGTTCAGATCTTTTAGAATATCAGTATTTCTTTTCTGGGGTGTTCTTTGGGATTTTAAGCGTCTTTCTGTTGCATTTCAGCTCAAAAGTCCAGAATTATCTTAATTAAAGAATGAATGTATAGGTAAGCAGAACTGTTTAATTACCTTAAATGCACAAAGTCCAAAATAACGAATAAAGTAAAGACAAGACAAAGATACTGATGAATGTAACTGTCGAAATGGTGGTAGTTTACGAGGCTGATAGTGTCACATTTGAATCAAGCGTGCCCAACATATGCAGAGCTGACAAAAAGACTGCAGCCAACTCCAGCACCATTTAGCAAGTTTGAATGTATCATTAGTTTCATTGTACACTGTTATACTCTTTACTTGTTGCTAAATTGTTTGCTAATTGTTATACTCTTTGTTAACTGTTGTACTCTTCGTTAATTGTAACTTTTATTGTTATGTGCTACCTTCACTGTTGGTAATTAGCTTGATTGTGTTCTGAAGGTGTACCGATTCAAGACCATCAATGTCATGATTACATCTTTCGACTACACAGTTACATATTATTTACATATTATTGTTAACGGTAAATTGTCTTCTACTGAACTATTGTTTTTTTAGCTTACAAAGCAATTATGCGTCAATTCAACCTGTTTTAAACTAATTTTAAACCATATACATTATTAGTTTGCCTGAGTGAAAGCGTAAAGCGAAAAGGCGAATAGAAGAATGGAAAAAAAAGGGATCAGTGAAAACAGATGTCATTTTATCACTTTCTAACATCACTGCATCTATAAATGCTGTTGTTCTTTAGGACTTGTCGCTTTCAAGACATTGCTATCAGCATATGACCGGTTGTTTACGTCATGACCACCGACCATAATTCCTGGCATATCCATGACAGATCTTATTATACATGCTCTGCATAGTGAAAACATATCAGATGATAGTATGCATTCTTGACCCACTCCCCTGTTTATGCTCTGAAATGTTCCCAAATGGTTTTTAATTCTCATATTTACTGTTTGCTGCCAATAAATGTTCTTCTTCTTCTTCTTTTGTCAAAATCTGCTTGTGCCGCTAGGCGTCGCAGTCTATCAGATGATCGGCAACCGAGCCAGGGCGCGCTCAGTCGCTTCATATGCAGTGATGTTATGAAGTCTCAAGTTGTCCGTGACTCCTTCAATCCATCTTCTTCTTGGTCTTTCCCTGCCTCTTGGTGTTTCGATTTTCATGTTGTATGCTCTTGATGCTGGCATCGTTGGTTCCATTCTCATTAGGTGACCAAACCATTTCATTCTTTGCTTCTCAATAAATTTAACGATGGGTATGGTTCCAATAGTTCTTGTAATCACATCGTTTCTCACTCGATCTCTTCTGGTTTTATTCGCAGCCATTCTCAAACATCTCATTTCACAGGTGGTTAGTCTTCTCTCGTGTTCTTTTGTTAATGTCCAAGACTGACATTGATAACCTAATGTCGGTATAAAGATTGTATTTATAATTTGTCTTTTTATCTCAGCTGGGACAGCAGGGTGTTTTAAAATTGGGGCAAGCTGGTATGCGACATTGTTGGCTTGTTGGATTCTTGCTTCGATCTCTCTGTCTTTTTTACCATTGAATGTAAAGATACTTCCCAAGTATTTAAATTCTTGCACTTGTTTTAGGCTGTGATCTAGAATCTTAATGTCGATGGTCTGTTGCTCTCTACTTATGCTCATGACTTCTGTCTTTTCAGTATTGATCTTCATATGATGCTTGAGGCAACTGTCGTGTAGTAGGTTTATGTGGTCTTGCAGCTGTTTACTATCACTGTGAAATATGCATTGATCGTCGGCAAAGAGCAGCTTATTGAAGTCCTCCTGTTTATCGACATCTGTTGGTGTTATGTCTATTTTATTAATAATTATTAATAATTAATAATTATATTAATAAATGTTCTTCATAATTCGTAAATGTTTGCCATCAATGTATAATTTTTTTTTTTCAGTAGTTTGATTATTTCTTCCTGTTTCCCACATTCAAATGTTTTCGTTTAGTCGATGAAGCATACGTAAAGATCGTTTCTTTACTTCTATAGCTCTTTCCGAAAGAGTCCTGAGGATGTATATGTCATTTTTTGTACTTTGTTCTTCACTAATTTCTGGTTTAATCTTGTTTCTTATTCTTCTCAGAATTATTCTCAGTAACATTTTGATCGCATGATTCTCAAGACGTTACATGTTAAAGTGCCAGGTTTTTTTAGAGCAATAAATGTAGATTTTAATAGGTCTTGGAAATATACCCACTATTATGATATTATTTAACAAGTTTGTTTTTATTCAAATTCCAAAATGTCTAAGAGTTTCTTCCAATGTTATGTTGTCTGGCTCAGGTTTTTTTTTTTTTTAAAGAAGAAAAAAAAGAAAAAAAAAGGGAATGAGCGAAAAACTGAGGTAAACTTAGCTGTGTATTCTTTATAGGACTTCGCAGAACCAATCCAATACTTTTTTGTCTTTTTGGGATTTTACTAGGCAGTGTGACGTTGAGTAGTTTGCCATTGCCTTCATCACGGTCCTCTGGAAAAGACGGAACAGATAATTAAAAGAAATCACAACACAAAATGCAAGAGACGCAGAAAATGATACATTGAGGGAGTGTAAAATAAGAGTATGGGAAGAAGATAAACGAGAATGTTGTGTAGAGAGTGTTATGTACACCCATCTTCATGCTCAGCAATGAATAAATACAATAGAATTAACAATGGGATAGAAGGAAGAGTGAAAGGAATCTTTCCTGGCGGAGATTTAAGAATAGGGCTTGAAACCCAGTTAGTAGATTTATTTATGTTAGACGGGCCTTCCTGCCCAATTCTTAACCATTTGTTCGTTCGTTCGTTCGTTCCAAACAACGCCTGACAGAAAAAGTTGAGAATAGTGAAGGCGATGATGACGTCAAAGCATGACAGTATGTCAGTGTTGGGTCAACAACCTTTAACTGTCCTGAGACATCCTTGACATGCTTTTTCTGACGCCATATTGATGTAGATGTCAAACGTAAATAGCTTGTTACTGCCAAACAATGACAAGCTGATAATTGCTATCTAGACACATGACCGTTTATAAAGGTTGACCATTAAAAACAACTCGGCCACAACAAGTTGGAACAGCAGACAGAGTAGCGAAACAAACCAAACCGAATCTTTCGAGAAGGTGGGTATCCTATTGTCTTTCCATATAATACCTCTTTCAGTATATCTCATCTGTTGGTTGATTTGTTTAGATACATTATAAAAAAGCAGTGCAGCTCTATGGGCTACGGGTGAATGAAATGATTTCACAATGTAATCCTCACCGTTTTCTAGGTTCGATCATTGAGGTGGAGGGTTCAAAAAAAAAAATAAAACCTGTATCTTGGCCTTCATACAGTGGTACGAGAGTCGTACCGTGGAAGAGATGATGCCTCACTATGTTATATTCCCACAGTCAGCAGTGAATACATTGCAGCCAGCCGGTATTGTGTTTAAATCGAAACACCAAGAGGCAGGGAAAGACCAAGAAGAAGATGGATTGAAGGAGTCACGGACAACTTGAGACTTCATAACATCACGGCATATGAAGCGACTGAGCGCGCCCTGGCTCGGTTGCCGATCATCTGATAGACTGCGACGCCTAGCGGCACAAGCAGATTTTGACAAAAGAAAGAAGAAGGTATTGTGTTTGATTATTTAAGTCAACAACAGTGCTATTGTGAGAGGAAAAAGCACTGCAATATAGCAGTGATGTTAATGGGAACATTCTGTAATGAATGAATCGGCATAACTGTCTTGGAACAGTGATAACCTATGAGGCATGTAGTCTCGTATAGAGAAGAACAAAAATCGCTAAGACAAAAGGACAAAACAATGAAAAAGAAACAACATCAATAAGAAAAATAAAGATGTCAATTTCACTAAGAATATAAGCAACAAAGTGTACTGTAAAATACACAATAAGAGAGATGTTTGTGCGACCAGTAGTATCAACAGCTATGAGACAGAAGGTGTGACGCAATATTTGATCTACTCTGAGAAATGACGAACAGAGAATCACTAGACAAGCACTGACAGTGGACATAGAAGGACTAGTGAAACATGGACGTCTAAGAGAATCCCTCAAGACACGATGATGAGAGGTGCCAGAGATGCTCGGCTTGGCTGCATTCATGTCCTCGAAGTGATTACACAGGTAAGAACGGAGCAGAGGAATAGAAAGCGATCCCTATGTGACGAATAATGGACCAACATAACAATGAATTCATGAAATCAGTATACTCATCATCATGTAGCAGGTCCTTTGCAGAACGTCGCTTTCAAAACAGTCTGCCTGAAAGAAACTTGGTCTCTCGCCAGTTCTCCCGCCTCATGCACTTTCAAACTCAAGCATTCACTTATATCCTGTGTCCATCTTCGTGTCGGTCGGCCCTATCAGTATACTATCGTAGGTAAGACATCAAAGACCCAATTGACACCACTGACGTATATGGTACTACATTCGTGTTTAAAAATTGGCATTCGGAAACCAAATGAATTTGTCATTGCGTGTAAAAGGCGTTCTTGTGGGAGATGACACGATTTATTGCACAGTGTTGCCTAATGTCAGGGTACCTAGTTGGTTGTGTTCTTAGTTCGCTTGTTTCCATATCGAGGCGTCATTTGGAGGTGACAGATTTGATTCCCGGCACGGTAACTATAGCTTTCGATTTTTATGCTGTCTAGTATGTCCTCCTCTTATTTTATGCTTCTTTCTATGAGTGCTGATCAATACATCATCTCTTTGTTATATATATATATATATATATATATATATATATATATATATATATATATATATAAATATATATATATATATACACACACATACTATTTTTACAGTTTCAAAGGCCCCCCCCCCCCCACACACACACACAATTGTTCTTTTATGTGAATGATTGTACAGGGTTGTAAATCATCAAATGACTTTCGACTGAGCTGCTGATGACATGTCTAAAGCATCGCAAAACAGAACTAACTTCTTAGCTTTACTACGATCCCATGGATCTCCTACGATATAGCAGTCGTCATCGGAAAAACAAAACAACAACTGGTGACCCACACAGAGGCAAACCGCAGGACAATTTACTCAGGAAAAACCTTCATCGGTCATATGTTATTACTGAATTAGCTAAATAAGGAATAAGGTCTTCCTAATATAAATGTTGCACAAATTTTGTTACCGCCTGTACCTTGAGGAGAACGATCACCAGTAAAGGCTCAGCCATGGGCCTAATGAACATCCAAGATCGACAACAGGTGGCACCGAACCGTCAGACATGGAGAGCTATGACCTCTTCCCTATGCGTCGCCTTAGGCTCAAGAGGAAAGACTAACTAACTAATTAAAAACGATACTGTGGAGAGAGGTTGTAGGTAAGTGAGCTAAAGATAGCAATGTAAATAGGAGAAAAAACAGCAAGCAATGGAAAAATCATAGTCTCAACGAGTTTACAACCTGGATGAAAAATGAGAACAAACGAACGAACGAACTTTATTTTCAAATTTTGCACGCAGGCCCATTTTATATTTGGACCCTTGGAGCATCCATCTTTGACACAGCAGCTGTATTTTATAAGTGAAGTATGTTATTTTGATAGATGAATATTACGTATAACAAGAAAAAACACAAAAGCATTGATTGTAAAATGCATGCACACACACTAGCACGCACTATACCCACTTACAAACACCCACCCACTCACTTACACACACATGCACATTCATATTCATTCATACATACATACACACACATACGTACATATGTACATACACACATACATATATACATACATCCATCCATACACACACACTCGTATACACACACATACGTGTATGCATGCATGCATACGTACACACTTACATACAGGCATGCATACAGACATACACACACGTGCACACACAGACACACCAACAGACACACAAACAGACACACAAACAGACAAAGATACAGACACGGACACAGTCGCCAACACACACAGAGACACATACAGACAAACACAACACACAGACACACACAGACACACACACAGAACATACAAAAACACATACAGATACACAGAAACACACAGAAACACACACACAGACACACACACAGACCACACAGACAGACACACACAGACACACACACAGACACACACACAGACACACACACAGACACACATACAGACACACACACAGCCACATAGAGACACACATACACAGACACACACACGCAGACATTCACACACAGACACACACGCAGACACAAACAGAGACAAACACACATAGGGAAACACACAGACAGACACACAAATAGTGACACCCACACATACTGACTCACAATGATACACATACACAGACGCAAACACACACTACTGCATCAGCTTTGGGAACTTGTTGATTCTATCAATGCAAGCATGTGAATATGAACACTAAAAGAACACTGTTTAACACAGTATTTTTACCAACCCTCTGCTGTCAATGTTTAACATGGACAGTGTCTGCAGAAGACAGAAGGAAAATAGACACGACAGAAAGAAAATGTTAACGTACTATGCTAGCTGTAACAATTAAAGATCGATTTAGGAACTATGATATCAGGAGCAGAGTCGGCACAGAACCAATATGAACTTCATAGGTAGACAACAAATCAAATGGTTAGGACATGTAACAAGATTGGCAGCATCAGATAGGGCACCACAGAGAGCAATGTTATACAGATACAGCGGTAACAGAACCACAGGTCGACCAAGCAGAACACTGACCGTAGAAATATCAGAGATACCGAAAAATACTTTATACGAAGCGAACAGAAAGGACCCTACCTGCCCTGAAACTTCGAGGAATTCAATGAGTAGAGGAAAGAAGAACAAGAATTTAGTTTTGTTTCTTTATTGACAAATTTTATTTATTTATTTGTGTGTGGGCCTTAGTGAGGATGGCTGTAAGTCGCATGAGTCGTAAGTTGAGGAGAAGATGTATATCAATGACACACAATGGCGAAGATGAGTGACGGGTATCCTTTGTAGGACGGTGCGGAACTAACCCCCTCATGTTTTGGGATGTTGTGGTATTCCTGGGCAAACTGACGTTCAGGAGTTTGCTATTGCTTACTGAATGGTCGACTCTCGGCACCCCTGTCGAAACTAACACGAAACTGTCCTAAGCGCTCTCACCTGAAATCGAACCCGGCACCCAGACATTACGAATGGCGCTCACAACACCTGAGCCACAGACGCCGACTGATTGACGGTACAAAACATATTATCCGGTAATAACATATTATCCGATATATAACATACTATCCGGTACATAATATATACATATAAGAGTGGTTTTGTTTACATTGACCCTCAGTGCAAAGTCCGCCATGGAACTTACCACTCTAGTGGTTGCAGCCATTGTCTTTCTGGTGGCCTTCACCTTGTTTCGACGAACTGATCCACGCCTGCCGCCCAGTCCCATGCGACCCCTGCCTTTAGTGGGTCATCTCTTCTACATGGCCAGTGACCCCAGACCCCAGTTCAAAAACTTCAGGAAACAGTGTGGAGATATCTACAGGTTTGTGATTTGGCAATTCTGATTCAACATAAGGTAACAAAGAACACATGATTGTCTGTCAATATTACACACACGGCCATGCATTATAAATATATATATATATATATATATATATATATATATATATATATATATATATATGGACAACAACCCAGTCATCTCCTTGTGAGATGCAATTTTTCGTTATTTGAAGCCCTACTCTGGCTCTTGCCGGGGCCGCAAAATAGCCCTAACATAAATATGGTCAATTGGCTGAACGCGGTTTCTGGGACTTCTCCGCGGGTGATCCTCATTCACATGGTGGCACTTTGTGTTATCGGGTGTTTATCGCATGAGTGATGTCCTGGTGGGGTAAAAATCTACTACTGCTACTACCACTATATATATATATATATATATATATATATATATATATATATATATATATATATATATATATATATATATATATATATCATCAGGTGCCTTGCTGACTGGCGTAGGCGATCATGCCTCTCCACAATCTGCGATCTCCTGCAGCATGTATCAGTTCGTGTGCAACAAGACCGTCAAGCATCTTCTCTCGTTGTCTTCCTCTATCCCTCCTTTCACAGATCTTTCCAGTGGTCACAACATGTTCTATTTTCCCTCTTCTCAAAATATGGCCGAAAAACGATGACTGTCTCCTTCTGATATCTGTGATAAGTTGCCTTCGGGCTCCAGCCTCTTTAAAAACCTCCTGGTTGCTCTTTTTGGCTGCCAAGGTATTCTAAGCATTCTTCTGTAAAACCACATCTCTGAGGCCTCTAGAAATTGTTTTGGCCTGCCTACCGATTGTATATATATATATATATATGTATATATATATATATATATATATATATATATATATATATATATATATATATATATATATATATATTGACAAAGAGAGTTTGGGAGAACAGAAAGCTCACAATTAAAACAAAAACCCTTGTCTATCAGGCTTGTGTTCTCAGCTCTCTGCTTTATGGCAGTGAAACTTGGTCAACCTATTTGCACTAGGACTAGATTTCAGGTCCTATGCCTAAGAAGAATACTTGGCATTAAGTGGCAGGACAAAATCACAAACACTGAAGAACTGGAAAGAGCAGGTACTACAACAGTCTTTTCCATGCTCAGTCTACGAAGGCCCAGGTGGCTGGGTCACACCTGGAGAATGGAGGATGACAGAGTCCCTAAGAACATCCTTTAGGGTGAATTAAAGACAGAAAGAAGATGTCGAGGCCGACCGCTACTAAGATATAAAGATGTGTGCAAGCGGGACATAAATGATACAGACCTTTTTGCGTGGAAAGGGCATATCAGGAAGGGAATGAGACTGAAGGAAGAAATGATTGCAGAAAGGATGGGAACCGGGCGTCTGAAAAAAAAAAGAAAAAGAACGGATTAAACACAAATGTTGACAACAATGGTCCTGAAATCCCATGCTATCATTGTGGAAGACTTTTCTTGACACGGGCGGGCGGATCTTGCTAGTCACACTCGCCATCGCCATGGGCTGTGAGTCTCATGCGTCCTCATAGCGCAATATAACACTATCGTCTGGAAAGACGGAAAGGTGCCAATGATATATATATATATATATATATATATATATATATATATATATATATATATATATATATATATATATATATGTATATAAATGGTAAAGTCGGGAGATGTGAACAAGCGTCATTGCACACTGTTGAAAGTGCCACCAGTATGGACAGCTGATAACAAACTGTTCGCCTGTGTCGCCGTCCACACGTAACTTCGTAGCTACATCGAGGTTCCTCCATTCACCCCAGAGTGTCAACTTTCGTAACCATTTCCTAGAGGCTGGGTGAACCCCGGAACCGCTCGGTTTGGAACACCCGCCGTGGCTACAGCGAGTCGCAGCTGGATTTGAAAGCGAGCCTCCTATAGACTGCGCTAACGCAACTCGTATATATATATATATATATATATATATATATATATATATATATATATATATATATATATATGACATACTTGAATAACATTTTCTATCTCCCATTACCTTAATTGGGTCTACAGCTTGACTGTTCGACATCTATGGACTCAAAGAGTCAGTTTCTATATGCCTGTGCAACAGTAAGAAATCCGAGGTACCGTAGTCAACTCACAAAAAGTTATATCTGACCATCACAAAAGCAAAATTATATCAATGCACGCGCTGTCTTAACTGTGGGAACAGGTGAAAAAAAAGGTGTGTAGGGGTTGGAGATGGAACAACATTTTCTTACTTAATATTTGTATGTTGTCAATATGTATTAACACGGCTTGTTTATTGTCTTCTAAGTGAAATTAGGATATTTAAAACAAGACTAAAAGGTCATGCATTGTCAGCATCAATTTAGCTCGTTGTATTTGGTCAAACGTGTAATTGTCCTTGATTTGGCAGGGTCAGACTTAATTATTGATTGTGCTGATCTTATAAAGCCTGCGAAGGAAAAACTCTCTGCAACTGCCATATCTGAAGTCTGATAAGTACTATAAATGGGCAAATTATCGTTACATATCAACTGTGCTCATCAGTTGCAGATATTGAAATATAAAACAATTGTTTGCAAACCACTCAGAACAAAGCATACCATACCTTATAATACCTCGACTGTTGAATTTGTAATGGAGTAGGTGAAAAACGTAGCTTGAAGGGCAACATTTACCAAATACTTTTCTAACGGGGAGAGGGAATCAAATTCTTCTTAATTCTGCCTAACAAATACATGGTACATACAAAGTTACTTTTCATTGCTTTAGTTATAAATTTATATGTCATCACATATTATCACATATACTCAGTATGTCATGTGTACCCTTGTATCCTTCCAACCGGGAATCATTCAAAGAAATCCAACAGGTCACACAAAGACATCCCATAGATCACACAAAATATTTCCACAGATCACAGCAAGTCATCTCACAGGTCACACAAAGACATCCCATAGATCACACAAAATATTTCCACAGATCACAGCAAGTCATCTCACAGGTCACACAAAGACATCCCATAGATCACACAAAATATTTCCAGAGATCCACCAAGTCATCTCACAGGTCACACAGAAACATCCCATAGATCACATAAAATATTTCCACAAATCACACTAAGTCATCTCACTGGTAACACAGAAACATCCCATAGATCACACAAAATATTTCCACAGATCACACAAAGATATCCCATAGATCACACAAAATATTTCCACAGATCACACTAAGTCATCTCACTGGTAACACAGAAACATCCCATAGATCACACAAAATATTTCCACAAATCACACTAAGTAATCTCACTGGTCACACAGAGACATCCCATAGATCACACAAAATATTTCCACAGATCACACCAAGTCATCTCACTGGTTACACAGAGACATCCCATAGATCACACAAAATATTTCCACAGATCACACCAAGTCATCTCACTGGTTACACAGAGACATCCCATAGATCACACAAAATATTTCCACAGATCACACCAAGTCATCTCACTGGTCACACAGAGACATCCCATAGATCACACAAAATATTTCCACAGATCACACCAAGTCATCTCACTGGTCACACAGAGACATCCCATAGATCACACAAAATATTTCCACAGATCACACCAAGTCATCTCACTGGTCACACAGAGACATCCCATAGATCACACAAAATATTTCCACAGATCACACTAAGTCATACCATAGATGCTTGTGTCATCATTAGCATCATAACCATCAAGTATCAAATCATCTACAGAACGTCACTCTGGTCACAGCCTGCCAGGAAGCAACTCGGCCTCTCACCAGCTCACCCGCCTCCAGCACTTTCCTAGCCAAGGCGTCTTTCCCGTCCTATGCATCCTATCTTTTAATTGGTCGGCCCCTGCCCCTCCTTCACGGCTACATACTCTCATCTACGGGTCTTTCCAAAATACAGTGTTTAAGAGACAATATGTTGTTTACCAGCAATTCTCCCTTGATTTTCAGATCTTGTGAAATGTCAGTGTTTCGTTAATTCTCGGTCTTTGCTATACTTCTAAACTTGTTTTTAATTTTGGAATTTAAGCTTATTACAAATCTTACTAGTAAAAAATATACACGTTAACAGCGTCATCATTATCATCATCATCATCATAAAAAATATGCTGCTAAGAATAGCCCTAATGGCGAGCTATCATAATGATTATGTGAATAATGTATGCATTTCAACACTTAAAAAACGTCTTCGCCTAACTATAAGAACAAGGATAGAACAGTGGAGGTCAAGCGGCACTGCAAGCTGAGAGTTTAGACACCTAGACCCGTACCACCCCCTGTTTCCCTGCTTACGTCACCAAAAGAAAAACAGTGTGCAATAGAATTAATTGTACCACCCCCACCCCACCCTCCCCCCACAAAAAAACAAAAACGTGTAGATGTTTTCTTTTTTAGTATTTGTTTCACCTCTTATTTTTTTAAATAATTATTATTGCTTTTTTTGGGCCAGTCAACATATAATAATAAGAGTTATAATAATAATAATAATAATAAATATTGGTCACCTAAACAAGGTTAGAGCCACTTGAAGCTGTATGTAATATTTTAAAAGGGATGAAATCCCCCCTTTTCCCTCACCCCGATCTCCAACCCCCAATGTTTGAAATGTAAAGGCGGTCCTATCGACATGAAGCTTTTAACAACTGACCCCAAATGTGGACCATTCCACAGCCTGTACTTCGGGAGCGCCCTGGTGGTTGTTCTCAACGGTTATGACCTCATCAAGGAGGCCCTGGTCAAGAACGCGGACGTCTTCTCTGACAGGCCACCAATTTTCATGGATTTGGTAATTCATCATCATCATCATCATTATCATCATCATCATCATCATCAAGTGCATTGCCAGATGGCGTAAGAGTTCATGCATCTCCACAGATCTTGGTCTTAAATGTTCTGGGTCAGTTCCACTGATGATATTGCCCTATGCCACTGCCTTAAGCCATCCATCCTCATTTCTTTTGGTCTGCCTCTTCTACCAGCAATCTTTACAGTCATCACATGACCAAAGAACTTTGTTTGTCTCCTTCTCATTGTTATTTATAATGTTCTACTTTTATTAGCCATCATTGTTAGTTATTCTGTCAGTCCAAGGTATTCGGGACATTCTTCTCAAAAACCACATCTCAGTTGCCTCCAAACTCTTCACAGTTTGTTTGCTCACCTTCCAAGATTCACTGCCACACAACATTATCGGCTCGATGTAACATTCAAGTACACTGTACTCGTTTTCTGACGTAAAATGAGAGTGATCAGAAAAGACTGAGTTATGGTATTAAAAACAGCCTTACAGAAATGAACATCAATCTTAAAAGTGCTCTTGACAGAGCTCAGTAACGAACATTACATCTCCCCCTGACACTTCGCTAACGTAAAAAGTGGAAAAAAAAAAAAAAAAAACAAGAAAAAGAACAATGATATTGATTTGTTACACAACACACTTTCCATCTTTTGAAATGCTGTCTTTGCCTGGCCAATTCTGCTTTTCATATCGTCCATATGATTTTATGAATGTACCCAAGAACTTGAATTTATTGTTAAGCAAATTCCCTTCTATTGCTGTATCATATTTTGAAGTCATCTTCTTCTTCGATACAACCATTGTTTCTGTTTTCTTGATATTCTTTGCACTCTCTAGCTCTCCTTCATTATTTTTTTTCCCACTGCTTTATCTGTTCATAAATGCCTTATTTCCCACTTTGATTGCTGCTTCCTGCTTCTAGTAAATATGTTTTATTATTCTGATATTGTTTCCATCAATGTTAATATACTCCAACAATTTTATCATACGGTGAGGATGTTTTGAAAATAACATTATTTTCTCAGAACGAGGCGGCACAATGGCTATGACGCTTGTCGCGGTAGTCATGCGTTCAAATCCTCATTGAGGCTACTTTTCAAATTGGTCCAGGCCATCCATGCTGGCAAGGCCTTATACAAGTATCAAGGATTATACAGGATATCTGGCGCCGTCTCCACTATGATGGTTGGTTGCAATGGATCGCCAACGCGCTCTATCTCTTGTCCTGGTAGTACACGCTCTTGATGTTGTTTCCCTGCATGTATCGTTGTCTACCTCTTACCCTCTTGAGCCCCCCCCCCCCCCCACAGTAGGTTTTCAAAAGTGTTATGCCTTTTAATGGGGTTGAAATATCTCAGATGTACTTCTTTACCCCCCTTTTCAGCAAATCTTCTTCTTTTTTTTTTCTTTTTCTTCTTCTTTTACCATTTTTTTAAATTTCGTCTCTACAGGACATTTGTATTTGATTGTGTTTCAAAGAAGTATGACCAATTCTTCTGTTTATCCACGTCTCTAGAGACCTGATTTCAATTTCAAGTTGCTTGTTCCTTGTCCAAGTTTCTGCACCATACGACATGATTGAGTGTACATAAAATCATGAATTATTTTCAGAGACAGAAGAATCCAGAAGGATATTACCCACATTTCCCCTCCCTGAGAGCACCGATTTCACAACAGCAACATCGGGCTGGCACCATACACACAAAACATCCCCAGGACGGCAAAGGGTTGCTACTACATCACTTTTGTGAAATAATTTTTTTTTTCCTTTTACTGTTCTTTTTTCCCTTTTTTTTTTTTGGGCCTGAACTAGGCAGTGTTAAGGGTTCAGTTTCAAGCAGAGAATGGGAAAAGAAAAAAAAAAGAGAGAGAGAGAGAGAGAGAGAGAGAGAGAGAGAGAGAGAGAGAGAGAGAGGAAAAAAAGAGAGAGAGAGAGAGAGAGAGAGAGAGAGAGAGAGAGAGCAAGAGAGATTTAGAAAGCGAGACAAATGGAAGGAAAAAGAGAATGAAAGATACAGAGAGTAAGAGAAATAGAGAGCTGAGTGAATGACGTTCAACCCCATTAGGATTGCAAAACGAGTAGCGAACCACTAGTGACAACAAAGTGCCACCATGGGATGAAAATCACCCAGGCACAAGTCCGAGAAACCCCGTTCAACTGTTAAGTCGCATTAGTGCCTCAAAGGACAGCAGGGGCAAGGCTTTCAAACAAGTAACAATGGCGTCATATTTGAGTATCCAGTACAACAGACATGTTCTATGTCTCCCCCCCCCCCCCCCCCCCCACCCCTACACACTTCTAAATGATACTCCCCTGTGTTAGCTAGCTACTTTAATATTTTATAAAAGGAATAAATATGACTAAACATATGCATACAGACTGCATTTAAATTAACGCATAATGAACGAATAATTATAAACGGCACTGAATTAAAATGTGTATAGCTAAAAGGGAGACAACTACATTCTGTTTCTTGTAGACTGTTTGAAAACAGTGTTGACTTCCCTTGTCTGTTTACCTACGTCGTTATCAACCTCATTGTCTCTGTTCATATCTACCCGATAAGTCCAACTATTGCCTTCACAAAATTATATGCGCGCACACACACACATACACACACACACACACGCAAACGCACACGATTTCAGAGCCTTGTCAAAATTGAAATTCAAAAATATATAATCGACCACGCCTCCAATTTCGACCCAGAACAAAATCCTTCCCTGTAGCTTTACGTCACTTTCAGCATGTAATTTTTCTTTATTTGAAGCCCTACTCTGGCCTTTGCCAGGGGCCGCAATATAGGCAGGCCATAAATATGGCCAATTGTCTCAACGCGGTTTCTGGGACCTCTCCACGGCGATCCTCATCAACATGGTGGCACTTTGTGTCATCGGGTGTTTGTCGCTTGTGTGATGTCCTAGTGGGGTAGAAAGTCAGTCAGTCAGTCAATCCTTTCCTTGTAGGACGAAATTTTTCGTTCATTTGAAACTCTATCCCGGCTTAGTTCAGGGGCCCTTTTTTAACTCATCCTATGGATTGAACTGGAATTCTGGGACCTGTCGCCTGGTCATCGACATCCAGGTGTTGGTATCTTGTTTCTTCGGGTGTTTATCGCTCGATGTAAGGTACTGGCGGTACTGGGCGTCAACCAATCAAATGACTACCCAGTCTAACAGTCGAAAATGAAATGCAGGAAAGTTTAAAGTAACAATGAAAGGGGCGGGGGTGTGGGGGGGGGGGCTGCGTGGCATGGTGTCCGCCTCGAGTGCTAGAGATTTTTGGTTCAATCCCTGGTAAGGACTAGGATTTCTTTCACGTAGACTTCTAGTAATTCCCCCTAGTCTCTGGGTAGTGAGATCAGACGCCCGTGTGTATTGTTGCGCGCCTAGAAAATCCCCTGGCAGTTGGAAATCGAAAAGAGTAGCGTGACGGCAAGGCCCCGGTAAAATTTAGAGTTAAAAATCTACCAAAATATATTTCAGGAATTTCGCCGGTGCTACAGAGACTGTGCACAGTGCTGAACTTCTTCGGACTCAAGACTAAAATTATAAAAAAAAAAAAAACGGAGCAATTCTGGGTTACTACCCGTGCGCCAGGATGTTGATCCGTTGTTCACAGCCTTAAACGCAAGGAAAATAACATCGCCCTAATACAGGTTGCAATTGCGTGTGTCTGTTTGTGTGTGTGTGTGTGCGTGTATGTGTGGTTATTTTAAAATCTACCCCAGCTGTAGTCGGGGTTATTACATAACCTGTTAAACGGGGTATTTGGGAATTTTACCCGGTAAAGGTAAAGTCGGGAAGATGTGAATCAGCGGCGTCATTGCACACGGTTATAAACCATAAGGGCTCTGCCACCAGTACGGACAGCTAATGAGAATTGTCCACCTGTGTCGCCGTTCGCTCGTAACTCTGTAGCTACAGCGACGTTCCTCCATTTACCCCAGAGTGTCACTCTGGTACCCATTTCTTAGAGGCTGGGTGAACCCCGGGAGCCACCCGGTTTCGAACACCGACCTTGGGCTGGAGCGAGTCGCAGCTGGATTTGAAAGCGAGCTTCCTATCGACTGCGCTAACGCGGCACCCGGGTGAGACTCATCCGCATAGTTTATAAACGTGACTACAGCAACAACCAAATTTTCTGAAAGCGCGGGTGAAAGAGACCTTTATTTAAAATAAACAATGTCCTTATTTGGTTGTTTTCACATTGTTATATTATCATCTCCGTCCCAATATCAGACGCAATTTTCAGTTACTATAAAGCCCTACTCGGAATTTTGTCGGGGGCCCTATTATAACCTAACGGTTGAACGAGGTTTCTGGGATGTGTACTCGGATGATTCCCATCTGAATGGTGGCACTTCGTATCACCGGGTGTTTATTACTCATTGTGCAGTCCTCGTAAGGCTGAATGTAAATTAACATTGTTACATAGTTGAGCTATATCTATTTCTTTCAAACGAAATAACAATAGACTATTTTTTTTCTTCTTCTTCAGGCAACTGGTATAAAAGAAAAAGGAGTGTCATTTTCTAATGGAGACATCTGGAAAGAACAAAGAACTGTCGGTTTGTCAATCCTAAGATCATTCGGCATGGGAAAGAATCTTCTGGCCGAGAGGATACAGGAAGAGGCTGTCTGTTTGGTGAACCATCTGGCCACTCTCAAGGGGAAACCAGTAGACACCAGAATCGTGACCAACATAAGCACGTCCAACGTCATCTGCTCTATTCTGATTGGTCATCGATTTGAATACCATGACAAGGACTTCCAAAACCTGATGGCCAGAATGGGGATTTTATTTTCAGATCAGCAAAACGTAAGCCTGGTGAATTTCTTTCCCTGGTTAAAGTATCTTCCAGGAGATTTCTTCCAGGCCAAGAGAATCACGTCAAATGTACAGGCAATCCTGAAAATGTTAAAGAAGTTCATCGAAGAGAAAAGACGACATATTGAAGATTCCAATGAAGTGTGCAATCTAATCGATGCTTACACAGTTGAAATGAACAAGAAAATTCAATCTGGCATACCGACTCTTCTCGACGATGAAAGTTTAATTAAGATCATGTTTGAGTTGTTCCTGGCAGGCACAGAGACCACTAGTACAACCATCTACTGGTGTCTTCTGTACATGCTCCACAACCCTCAGGTACAAGATAAAGTGCATCAAGAAATTAAAGAAAAAATCGGGACGAATCGAGCACCTAGTATCCAGGATAAAACCCAGCTGGTCTATCTCAACGCCGTCATCACAGAAACACAGAGGCTTGCTAGTATTGTTCCTCTGAGCGTGACCCACATGTGCTCTGAGGAAGCGACCCTTAGAGGCTACACTATACCCAAAGGAACTTCCATTATCCCAAACCTGGACTCTGTCCTGCACGACAAGGCCACCTGGGGAGAAGACGCCGACTGTTTCAGACCTGAACGATTCATTGACAAAAGCGGGAAACTCAACGTCCCTGAGGAGTTTATTCCCTTCGGCAATGGACGACGTGTTTGTTTGGGGGAGGCCATTGCTAAGATGGAACTGTTCTTATTCCTGGCGTATATGTTCCAGAGGTTCCAGTTCCTTCCAGTAAACCCGGGGAAACTGCCAGGGTTGGATTATGAGTGCGGGCTGGTCACGGCCCCTAAAGCATACGACATCAGAGTTGTTGAAATCAAATAATCTCTGTACACTGTCTTCAGCATCACAGTCAGACAGAATAACCGGTTTATTTAAATCTTGAAGAGCGAGGAAATGTTTTGAAGAAATTCTGTGTCTCTGGGTTGTAGGTTTATGCTAAAGATGGGGAGTTCATTATTTGCCGACACTAATTAGGATAAATATTAAAGTATATATTGTAACTGGGGTATCGCCGTGGTGTAGCGGCTAGACGCTGGCCTGCGGATCGGAAGATCATGGGTTCGGGTACCGACGGAGCCGAACTTTTTTCAAAAATAACCTTGGCTCTCAGGTCAACCCAGCCTTTAATATTTATCATGTGTAGTCCTGGGAAGTAAAGGCGGTCAGGCTGATCTTGACCCTATCGACTGGTCTATAAAATATAGGTCTAGCCCTACAAGCCCAATACGCCTAAAGGCGAGGACAGGTTGTTTGTTTACTTTAGACACTGTAACTAGGAGGATAACTAACTATTTAGGAAGGGAAAATGAAATAACAAATTAAATCAGACATCTCAGGTAGACATGTTGATTCTTCCATTGGATTATCTACTTTCTAGTCAACAAGATGTCAACCTCATAATAAAGGTTGGCTATTTTGTCTCTTCCACAACCTGTTTCCCTGCCCAAGTATGAGGACTTCTGACATAATACCATTTGCCTACATCTTGATGTTATTGTTACGTTTCAGATGCAGTTTACAATTTGCTGGCAAGCATTGCATTTTCCCACTTAGCATGGATTTAAAAATTGTCATTGTCAATATGGTCGGCATTTTAATCTTTGTCTCTCGTTTAGTTCTTCCATTAACGCTCTGTTGAATCCCAGACTCTCTAAAACATCTGTATTGGAATGTGGTTGTTTCTGCTGCTTCTAACAGTAGTTTTGCCACAGAGAGTACGTCTTGTAACATGACAAAGCAAGTATATAATGAAAAAATGACATAGAAAGGATCAATAGAAAATTCGTTTAAACCATCATTAATTAGTCAAATTTTTTGATAATAATTATTTGAAAATTGCAATAGTTATTTACTGCGGATTGGTTATAAAGAAATAAAAAGATGGAAACCCGTTTCTACTATTTTATATGACATTGTTTATTATCAGAAGTGAGTACATCTGACCACAACCTTACACCTGAGCTCTATCAGCAAGGGTACTGGAGCATAAGGGCTTGGACTGTTTGAGCACCCTCCCCCATCCCCACACTAAAATATTTGTATTGGAGGCTGGAGAGGGGGAGTGGGATGACGCTTCTGCTAAGAAATGTGTGAAAAGCCATGAACCCCGCTCCCTCCCTCAAAAATGCAGATACATTTTTTTTTAAATGTACTTGTTTATACAATAAATACTATTTTAAAAAATATATAAATGTAAGTGTTGCCAATCAGCAAATTATTACTATTATAATATGACGCACTTAAACATGGCTTCATTCATGTGAGGCCCCGTCTCTAGAAAGTTGTAGGGAACTGAGGCTCTGACCCCTGCCATGTCCTACGTGACAGTTATGATGTTGATGATGATACATACAGATGCCGATAAAGAAACCTTAGATGGGAAAAAGCGTTTATTGACATTTATAAAAAAAAATAAAAAAAAAAAAGTAAAGATCCCTTTTCACGCCTTTCGGCGCATCGGGCATTTGGACAGAGCGTCCCATATTTTTACAGACCATCAGCACTCGTTTGGTAAAGTGTGGTCAGCATTACGCCGGCTATTGACATTTATAGGGATGTTTAAATACATGGCTTCGCTTAACAGAAACGACGACACTGCATTTTGGACAAATATATATATATATATATATATATATATATATATATATATATATATATATTTATACACACACACACACACACATATATATATATATATATATACATATATATGTCGACAATCTGTGCATATATCCAAGTGTTTGGGTGTTAGCTGCTCTTGATGACTCTGGAGTTGAATACACATTAACAGCGCCCATTTGTCATGCGCAAATAGTTGCTATTCGAAGATTATCAGTCTGTACAGCTACCTCATCATTTTCTTATCACTATCTCATCACTTTCTTATCACTTTCTCCTCACTATTTCATCGTTGTCTCATCACTATCTCATCACTATCGCAACACAAACCAGAAGTTCTCCCTGTCTGCTCTACCTGAAGAATTATGTACACTGAAACAGTCGGGTAAAAGAGCTGCCAAAGCCCACACTTACGCTTGGTGTACATAATTACAGACGTCTGTAGTTAGATGTTTAACCGTTGTACGACTGAGCTGAGACCCAGGACGACCCCAAGACAAGGAACTTGTTTAATTGCAAGGCTCGTTGACCGACCGAAACGTGAACAGACTTGCTGTTTTTATTATGTTTTAAAAACTGTGCGGTCTTCACAATTAAGGCCGGCTATAGAGTACCATTGTTGGCTTTGGGAAAAGTACGTGGTGAGATCCCAATGTATTCCACAGTGCGACTTTCGTACCACTGTCCATAAAGATCCAAATCTGTTCCACAGTGCAACTCTCGTACCACTGTCCATAAAGATCCCAATCTATTCCATAGTGCAACTCTAGTAACACCGTCCATAAAGATCCAAATCTATTCCACAGTGCGACTCTCGTACAACGGTCCCAGACCAGGGCACAAACGATTACGTAACCACATGCACAAAAAATTATAGATAGGCGTATCCGCCATGTGCCCCTGTGGAAAGATACCACAGACAACGGAACATGTACTCCAGAACTGCATCGAATTTGACAAATTAAGGTTAATCTTTTGGCCAGAAAGAATAACGGTGTATCGTAAACTCTATGGACAACTGAACGAACTATAAACGACAGTTAAATTTATTCGAGGGACAAAACTACTGATATAGACAACCTATTTCAGGCAAACGAAAAAGAAGAAGAAGAAGAAGAAGAAGAAGAAGAAGAAGAAGAAGAAGAAGAAGAAGAAGAAGAAGAAGAAGAAGAAGAAGAAGAAGAAGAAGAAGAAGAAGAAGAAGAAGAAGAAGAAGAAGAAGAAGAAGAAGAAGAAGAAGAAGAAGAAGAAGAAGAAGAAGAAGAAGAAGAAGAAGAAGAAGAAGAAGAAGAAGAAGTAGAAGAAGAAGAAGAAGAAGAAAAAAAAGAAGAAGAAGAAGAATATAATAATATAAACAACTGTGGCATTAGCACACTAACGTGAATTTTGTGGCTCAATGATCATGTGTCTTTGCCAAGCTTTGAGCTGGCGTTGTTAGCTAACATGTTATGGGAGCACTAGTCGTGTTTCCTTTGTACCGCTCTATCCTTGTACAGTTTTGGGGAAAGAACGATTCCACTTTCATAGGCTACTGGTGGAACTGCAGATGGGTCGGGTGGAAGGAACTGGAACTTCTGAATCATAGTGGAGAGAAACAGGAACAGTTCCATCTTGGCCAAAGCTTCACCAAGACAGACGCGGCGTCCGATCCCAAACGGGATGAACTGTTCCGGAATGTTAAGTCTACCGCTGTTGTCTAAAAATCGTTCGGGCCTGAAAGTCATCGCGTCCTCACCCCAGGTATCTTTGTCGTGAAGTGCAGAGTCCAGATTTGGCAGGATATAGGCCCCTTTGGGCAGAGTCTAGCCTCTAACTGTCACCTCTTTAGAACAGAAGTGGGTCACAGACAGTGGAACGATACTGGCCAGACGCTGAGTTTCTAAAATAACAGCGTTCAGATAAATAAATACACTGGGATTTGTCCTGTATGGTTGGAGCTCGATCCGCTCCTAACTTATTTTTAATTTCCTCAAAGATTTTCTCTTGACTGTCAGGGTAGTTGAGTAGATAAAGGATGCACCAGTAGATGGTCGTGCTGGTAGTCTCTGTGCCTGCTTCGAAGAGATCAATCATACACTTCAGTAAATTCTCATCATCCAGTGTTGTGGGTGTGCCGGCCTTCACCTTCTTGTTTCGTTCAACCGTGTATGCGTCAATCAAGTTGCACACTTCGCCAGAGTTTTCGATGTGGCGTCTTTTATCGTTAATAAATCCCATTAATAAACTCATCACCGGTTTCATGTTTGCGGCCAGCCTTTTGGCCTTAAAGAAGTCTCCAGGGAGGTGTCTCACCCAGAAGTAAAAATTAACTAAGCTGACATTATCCTGGTCGTTGACTAGAGTACCCAATTTGTGCATCAGTTCCTGAAATTTCGTGTCATCCTGCTCAAATCTGTGACCAATCAGAACGGAGCAAATGATGTTACATGTGCTAATATTTATCATTATCCGAATATCTGTGGGCTTTCCCTGCAAACGTGAGAGAAAGTTGATAAAATAAGCCACTTCTTCTTGTATTTTTGCAGCCAACAGGTTCTTACCCATCCCGAAAGCCCTTAAGATGGACAGGCTCACCGATCTCTGCTCCTTCCAGATTGTTCCACTAGAATATATCAAACCTTGATTGGACAGTCCATTTACCTGCCGACAACAAGGAACAATGTCAGAAAAGATGACCATTAGAACAAACCACATATAAAGATGATGGATTTTTCATGTTGGAAATTTACACTCAAAATCATTCATATAATGATGGTATGTGTTTCTAGTTAAAGGTATTCGATTACCTTCTTTGTGTGGTTGGCTACAGCATTAGGTCTACAGAGAAATACGTCTATAGCAATCTGGAAGCCGAACTCACTATCAAGCTAGTCATTCTTGCCTAGTGTCGTATGGCAGTTTTGTCGCGCACCTTACTTACAGGATATTTTCACAAATCCCTCAGGTGCTCTGAGACAGGAGAGTTTTGAATGGTGGCTCTCGTTCGTCTAGAGGCTTAACCCTCGGTTCAAACTTTCCATTCAACCTGTCTCAGGGATGAGGTGACACGAGCTCTGACTCCACAGGGTTATTATGAACACTTGGGTACCTCTCGGCCAGACGTCCTCACCACTGTTTGCCCCCAGACTGGATTAATGTAAATCCAGTCGAACAAATAATCAACAGTGAATACGATAAGACAAGACTACGTTTATAAATGCCAC